TAGACACTGTAAAACTTGCAGAATTTGTTGACTATTTTTCATGTTGAAATATTAATAATTCTTAGCCACAGGGAAATAGAAAAAACATAACCTGTAATTATTTGTTCATCTACAATACCAGCTAGATGAAATTTGACCAAAATAAATTACGAGTATTTTTATTTGTTGGTGGGCCAACAAAAGTGAGAAATATGTTTAATTTTTTATGTTTCTTTGTGGGCCAACAAAGAAACATAAAAAATTAAACATATTTCTAAAAATAGATAAAAATGAAATAAGCGCAAATTTAATTATCCGTATCAATAAAATTGCACATTGAAGAAGAAATTTAACAAAGAGATATTATTATAGATTTTAAAATTTGAAAAAAAAAATAAAATATATAAATATATTAAAATGTTTGTACAAAAGCTTTCAAATGGTGATAACTAAATAAACAATTTATAAACTCGCCAATATATACATAAACAAATATACATGATGTAATCTTTACGCACATTTTGCTTAAATTTGGCATCTGAATGAGAATTACAGAAGAAATATATGTAAAAGAATCAAACTCATCCAGCTATTAAATAATAAATTGCAAAAATGCTGAAGAAAAATAATATTATAAAATTATTAATTTAATTACACTCCGAACAATAAAAATGATTGCGAAGGAAAAAACTATATTATCAAGAAGTTATATAAAAACTGAATTGTTAAAACATTTATATTAATTATGCGTAAAGTATAAATGGTATATATGTATGTATTACCTAAATATATAATTTACACAACTTTTTAGGATGCTGAAAAACGATATAAGGTGATCCAGTGCTTAAACAATGCAATTGTTATACTACAGATTTATTGGTTCACGCATTAACGTTACAAAACGAGAAAAAAATTTTAAAGTAAGTTCAATTAAGATAGATATATAGTAATAAATAATAAACACTGTATTTAGTAACACATAATATATTAATAAACACTATATTTAAGCAGCCGATCAGAAATGAAGTTATAGAACAGGATGATGATTATAAGAAATTTTTAAGAAATATATATATATATATATATATAAAAGCAAATAAATTATTAATAAAATTATTAAGTATCTAAAAGTACTTAAAGCTTAAATGAATTAAGCAATATTTATAAAAAATTAAATAAAAATGTTTATAAATTTAAAAAATTTTTATCAAATCCATATAAAAACTATATTATTTTATTGTTTTATAGCAAAAATTTGATAAATAATTAATTTTATTAAAAACAATTAAAAACTAACAATTAACTTAGAGAAACTGATAAGGCAGCAACTTAACAATTAGTTAGAATCTTCAACGAGTTAAATTTTCCAAATATTCTAATATAAAAATTTACGAAAATTTAAAAATAATATTTTGCATAAAATAATATTTTGAAAACAATTTAAAAAATTAAAGAATACATTTTAAATACATTTCTTTTTGCCTATCATATTATTGTTAAAAAAGAAATCTGTTTAAAAAATATCTGTATTTAGAAAGTTTTTGAAGAAAGTTTTTGAAGAAAGGTTTTGATAATAATTTAAAAATAAATTTCTTTTAGAATAAGAAATTTTAGTTTGGCCGTAAAATAGTTTGAAAAAGAAAAAGTTTTCGAAAATGAAAATTTTAAAGAATAATGGAAGCTATCTAGCTTTTGTACCATTTATAAAAAAATCATTTAGAAATTTCTCTCTAATAAACGCCCTTCCCAAATAATTTTTCTATTTTAAATTTGTTGACCTTAGTAATATTTTTTTAATAAATCTGAATTGACAAAATTGAGGGTACCGGTTAATAACTTTCCAGCCTTAATTTAAACAGCCTAATGAAAAAAATACTTTTTATTTATATATATTTTAACTTACTTCAACAAGTTCTTGTTGTGTTGAGACTTGTAGACGATCCTGAAGATGCCAAAGCACAGAACAAATAAGTCGTAGTTCAAAAAAATATTAAATTCGAGAGTAAATTTGCTGCAGAAACTTGCCAAGGCAAACATTTAGAATAAAATAAAAAAATTTTTTTGAAGAAATTGAAGAATTTGTTGTTTAAGACTGAAAATTATTAAAAATAAAAATAAATTTCTAAAATATATAAAATATTAATAGATATTGATATTACATGAACGAATAATATTAAAAATATTACTGATGTGTTACTAAAAAACGTACTCAACAGACGTTTAAAAAGTATATATTTTCACACAAAGATGAGACATATTATTGATTTGAGGCGTCGCTTTTCCTTTTTAGAATTATAGAAATCTGCTTAAAAGCCGTAGAAATAGAAAATCTTTTAGACATTTTCTATTTAGACGATAATTTAGTCGGCAACTGATAATATTATACTTAAAAATAAACGGACATTTATTTTGTAAATAATATTAAACAAAAAATCAATGAAAACAACTGAATGAAAAATTTATCAAAAATATCATAAAAAATACAAAATTTTAAAATATATAATAGATAAAATATCGGGAAGTTGTATGACATATTTGGCGATAAATTTACAAATGAATAGTCAAATTTTTGATTTTGTTAGCAGAATTATTTTTTCAGCGTAAATGCAAAAAGGATTCTACATTTAAAATAAAACTATAGTGAAAAAAATTTTATACATAAATTTTGTAAGAATCATTTTCCGAAAGAATAGGTACGGCAGTTAATTTTCACCTAAAATTGTATTATAAAATAAGATTTTAATAAACATTACTTTTATTTGAGCGTGGTAAAAGGTAGTAAAAATTCTAAATAAAAGATAGAGTAAGTAAAAGGATCAAAAGCAGGATGAATTCTTTTGTTATGATTATTTGATTCATAAAAAATAATTGAATTTATCGTGTTTATACCAATATTGAGGTCATTGTTCAAAAAGCGCTATCCTATATATAATTTTAGAATTGTTGTCTGTTTGTCCGAAGCTTTAAATTTTGCTGTGTTTGGCGTTGTGTTTATTTTTAAATTAAAAATGACAAAATATCCCAAAAAAGAAAATAGTGTGTAATTAGAGAAGTAAAGAAAAAATGTGAATTGTTTAGAAATTGTTTTGTATTTTTTTTGCTTGAATTTTTTTATTTTTTTGTTTGTTAATTGTATTAAGATGTTTTTTGATTGTTTTTTTGTTTTGTTTCTTAAAATTTGTTTTAAGTAAGAAAAATAATGTGTATTTAGGGAAATTTTAATTTTTTGTTTGTTAATTATATTTAAGATGTATTTTGATTGTTTTGTTTTTTATTGTTTTTTAAAATTTATTTTATTTAGAAATTGTTTTTAAGTTCAAAACCAAAACGATTATTTATTCAAACAACGAGTGTCCAACCGGTGGTTAATTTAGTATTTAATTTAAACAAGGAGAGTTAGCTTAAATTCAAGTTAGCTTAAGTTAGCTTAAATACAAGTTAGCTTAAATTTTTTTTTGCTACAAGTTAGCTTAAATTTTATTTTACGGAAAAAAACTCACCTATAAGAAATATTGAGTTTAGTTTATAAGTTAAATTTCTATCAATTCTTAGGGGCGTTTGAGTGATTTCTATGACTTGAAAATTTATCACGTTGGCTCTCGGCGGTGAATTTTTTCTGTATAATGAGATAAAAACCATTTTATAGCAAATTTAAATGGCTTTCAGATAAGCCGAAAATAAAATTTTTATTTCATCTGTAAGGTGTCGAAAATATTTTTTAAAGACCTTTACCCCCGTTTTACGTTGATTTTCGGATTTAGATATCTCGATGATGTGAATACATAAGAACTTCATTTTTTTTGTATTACTTATCTATATTGGTAGATATGTTCAGAAAAATTTTTGTAGAGATATTTCGTGGTTTAAAAAAATTTTAATATAGGGGGGTTATAATTTATTAACACTAATTTTTTGAAAAAAACGTCAAAAAAAAGTCCGTGATCGGAAATTTTTAAAGATATTTTGTAAATATTATTTAATATACATTACAAAACTACTACAAAAATTTCAGAACAATCCGACAACGGGAAGATAAAGAAACTCGAAAAATTCAAGGGGGTTATAATTTCTTAACACACTATATACAGTAAAAAAGTTATAGTATATAGTAAAGAAATATATAAACTAGATCAACTCAATTAAATAGTGATGGTTGAAAAGTTGATAGTTTGAAAGTTGAAAATTTAGGTAATTGTTAAATAATATTTGAAAGTTAATAGTAGAAAATTGAAGTTAATAGTTTGAACTGATATTAATAGTTAATAGTTGAAAATTTAAAGTTGAAAATCTTAGTTAATAGTTGCTCAGTTAATAGTTGAAATTGATATTAATAGTTAATGATTGAAATGGGTATTAATAGTTAATTGTTGAAAATTGATAGTTAATAGATTAAATTGATTTTAATAGTTAATAGTTAAAACTTGAGTTAATAGTTGAAATTGATATTAATAGCTAATAGTTGAAGATCTTACTTAATATGAATCATTGTTAATAGTTGAAAAGTGAGTTAATAGTTAATAGTTTAAATTGATATTAATAGTTGAAGGTTGATAATCTTAGTTAATAGTTGAACCATAGTTAATAATTGAAGTTAATAGCTTAAAATTGATCGTTAATAGTTGTTAAGCAGATTCTAAATAAATAATAATGAAATAATGATTACTAAATAATGATTGAATGATTTAGCTTTTTTGAAACCTTTAATGTGAAATGGCCGAGTCTTACAAATTACAAGAGCTTAGTTCAGAGGAAATGTTGAGTTCCATTCCATGTGGATCGAAAATGGCGTAAGTTTTTATTTTTGAACTTGCTTTAATGAATATGTATTTAGTAATTGCTGTGGACAGATAATGAAGGTCATGGACAGTGCTAAGAAAATTACGTTGTTATGTGCCTGTTAGAATGGAGCAATTTTGCAGTAACCGGTTTTAAAAAATCATTAGATGGTTGTTTTGGAAAGATTTGTACTTTGGGATCTGTAGGTTATCAGATTATTTGATATTCTATGTTTATTTTATAGGTTGTATCCTTTTTGATGCTAAGAGCCCATCGTTTTGATGTCAGCCGGTTTGATGGGAAGACGTATTTTTCTACGCCATTCGACTTTTAATTAATTGTGCAGCCTAATTCTAAATATTATTTGGTGGAAAGTGTTGCAAAAAGCGTCGACAGTTTTACTGAAATGAAGATAGGGGAATTTATATAGTTAGCTAATAATCTTTATTTATTAATATTAAATGCGTTTTAGAAGTCAAATGCGTTTTAACTACTGTTTTTATGCCTTACGACAAGACTAAAGTTTGTGCCATCGTTGACGATTTAAAGGGCTATAGGAGTGATTTATATGTTTCTGGAGAAGCTTTAGCTGAGAAACTTGGAAAAGGAAAAGAATATAACCAAGTTGTTCTTAGCAAGTGTTTTGTCAATATTAACGGTTTTACAGTTTTAAGGAATAATATATTTTTTTATTAAGATGAGTAATTGGAACTGCATGCTTCCGTTCAGGACATCTGCATTAATACAGACTTTGTTTTATGTTCATTTGACAAACCACTCAAGACTCCAGTCAAACGAAAAAGTGAAGAAATTGAGACTATTGAAGTGGACATTAAAAGTCAGAAGAAATGACTGAATTTTCGTGATATGATCTCTTTAGCACTCTTGAAAGTGATTTTCTTTTTGTTGTTAATTTTAAAGTAAATTGTTGTTTTGTTATTTAAAAAGTAAATGTAAAATGTTTCAAGTGTAAGAAGTTTCAAAATATACCGGCATTGGGAAATGTGAATAGGGGAAATGTGAATATTGGAAATGTGAATATTTTTTAATTTTCATTTTGATTAAATTTCAACAAATTTTATTTTTCCAATCAAATCTCTTTTTTAAAAGTGTAAAGTGACAAGATTGTTCCAGGTTAATTTCTTAATTTTGTTTACAGATTGTATGCCACATGTCAAATGATATTTCTTTAGAAGTTTTGAGGATAGTGGTTTCTTAGTTCCCATTTCTTAGCAACTAAAAGCGGGCGTTTATATTATTGTATGTAGTATATTTATATATTTTATTTGTATATTCAAAAATTTTTATTTTTCAAGTTATAATTATTAAATAAACACAAAATCCATTTTCTTCCTTTTCAGCGAATTTTATTGCAAGTTTAGATATCAACTACTATTCACAAAAGTTTTATAATTAACATATTTATAAGATACAATATTTTTATAAGGAACTCTAAAGTATTAAACAAAAAATTAGTATTAAATTTAATTAATCAGTGTCAAAAATTTTTATTTAAAAAAAGAAAAAAATATTTGAGAAGAACTAGTATGAAGAAGCTTTTGAAAAAGAAAATTCTAGAAAAAGATATTTGAATTCCGACAACTTCAAATTGTTCACATATTTCAAATATATTACATTGTACATTAAAATATATTATTATATCATTATAAAATAAATTATAAAAAATATTAACTATAAACATTTAATTGATTGAATTTAAAGAGAATGTATAAAAATAAATTTAAGAATAATATAATAAATGAAGCAAAAATTAATAATATGAAAATAATTCAATATCTATTTTAGCGCATAAAGAAATAAATGTTTTATTTATAATTAATTATGATATTATCAAAAATATTAATTTAGTTACAATCATGGAATCAAAATTTTAAAAACTTGTCAAATAAAATTATTTTTGCATAATCAATCTATTCCAATTGATTATAAATTAGTTTATTGAGAATCAAAATTTAAAAAATAAATAATTTTTTATTTCATTATTTAATTTATTATTTAAATTTAAATAAGAATTTTTAAGTTAATAGTATCATTAAGAAATTGCAAGTAAAACGTCTAAATAGGAAAAAGATACTGCTTTTAATGTCAATTAAAATACTTTTAAAGATGTAACTTATTCCAGTAAATATTCCAAATGCAATTTATTCCAGTTCAGTTTAAAATATTTTAAGCGAAATAAATTTATTACTTTTTAAATAGATTCTTAAATAACGATAGCAACGATTTGTTGGCCAACAGCCGCAACGACTCGTTACATCACGTTGGATTACATGACCGGATGTACATCAACCGATCTACCTATTTATGTTACAGTGCCAGAAAGGACAAATATTCGTAATTATCATTGAAGAATAATTGAAGAATAATTTAATTTTTATAAATTATTTTAAATTGATTTATTATTTGTTGTAAGGTAAATTCTGACTAAGTTCAAAATCGTCTGAATATTAAACATGTTGAAAATCGATAAATGTTAGCTGGGCTGAGAACGAACAATTGTGTTCAATTAAGAATTAACAGTTTCTAATGCAATTTAAAAAACTTAAAAATTATTTACCTATTTTAGCATTTAAAAACTATTAACAATATTAACAATAATATAAAAAAATGGTAGGTAGAAAAATAAAGATGCAGTTAGAAAAATGAAATAATAAACTATCTATATAATAAACTCTGTTTATGAAATAATAAACTATACATACATATGAGTAGAGAATAAGAAAAGACTTCTATTAAATTAAATCTAAAATTAAAATTTGAAGATATAAATATATTCTGAATTTAGACGCTGAACAGGATGTACATTTTTAAGATATAATAAAAATAAAATAAAAACATTCAATTTAATTTAATTCAATAAATTTAAAGATTTAACAATAAATTAGAGTAATTAGCCATCTGCTAGAAGAGAGTCAAAAAGTGCATAAGAGGTTGTAAAAAATGTCAAAAAATTAAGGATTCTAAATTTATCTTACCTGTAATGCCGTGATTACCACAAAAGAGATAAAAAATATATGTAGAAAGATAAAGAAAGATTAAAATACATAAATATAATTTTAACTTAAAATTTAATTACCATTATGTCCGATCCAGATCACCCATCTCATTAAATATCCTAAAATATTTTGTCTCGCTTTTCTCAAAATTGTCAAAGTAACATGTGAGATTAAATCCTTCAATTCTTGGAGGACTTAATGGCATTTCATAGGATTTTTGAATTTTTTAAAATTAGTTAAAAATAAGATATATGATATATGAAATTCATATAATAAAAACAATATGACATTGTTAAATATATTTAATATTATATCTAATTTTTAAATAGGAAATTAGAATACAAATATATATTTATTTGCATGAATTAACACCTCAAGAGTAATCATTAGCAATTCTATTCCCATACAATAATTTAAATAAATAAACGTTTAGATTCTACAAGACGATAAAAAATGAAATTGAAAACTTTCTGAAATCGAAATGCAATTCTCTTGGAACTGCAAAAAAAGAAAATGAGTGCAATGCATTTCTAAAGGATATGCTTCTGAAATGGCATGGATATTGTTCGATGGATACTGCCAATTTGGAATCAGAGCGTTTTGAAGAGCTTGAATTGATCTTTTAAAGAGGAAAGTTATTTGATTTGAAATTTTGGAAGTAACGTATTTCATAAATTTGTAAATATTTTGTAAAAAAAATTTTTTTAAAGAAGACAACTACTAAGTTCCAATTTTTAAAATTTATTTTACCCGTTTTTAAATTTATTTTAATCCTGACACCTTTTTTAAGTTCATTTTTAATCCGTTTTTTAAATTTATTTTTTTCGTTGTTTTTAGCGATAAGATAAGCATCTAAATTCACATAGAATAACTTGATTTTCATTTATGATCCAAAGAAAGGCAAAAAGGGAGGAATTTTCTGACATAAATCCATTTCATTCTTTTCTAGTGCAAAGAAAGGCAAAAAGGTAGAAATTTTTTGACATAAATCCATTTCAGTATACCTAACTATTACAATTATGCTAAAAATTTACAACATTGCCTTCGGTATCGAACTTTCCTTGTAAAGACACGGCTCTTATTTATGCCTGCATAATTCAGTCATCAATTGTACGGACCTCTAGGTTGCATCCTGTAAAAACCACAATTAAGTAACACAAAACTAAGTTTTGATTCTATGCTTATCTTATTTTTTCAAGTAGTATGACCTCGCAACTAACACCAATTTCCCCTTATTATTTATATTTTTCCAATTTAAAATTATTGTATTTATTATTTAAAACTCTTTAAAAACCATTGTAATTTCTAAAATTTACTTTTGATAAAAATTGTATTTTTTGGGAATTTATTGGCAGACAAGTTTTATTTAAACATTAATCCATGTAGTAAGAAAATTACTCAAAAATTGAGATTGCAAAAGCTTTCGACGCGGTAGCTCGATGGAAAAGAATAGAGCCTGCTCGTTAAAATTTTCATGACATCAGCCCAAGACCGAGAAAAGCCACAAGAAAAGTCATGATTCAAGACCAAGAGTTTTATACATAAAAAAATTTGCAAATAATTAAGATTTGCATAACATTCAAAGTTCTATTTCTATTAAGATTACTCTCACTTTTAATTCATAATTTGACAAATTGAGTGTTCTTATTTAGTTGCGTGTGGGACTATTGGAGCACATTTTTGTACATTTTGCCTTCGCATTTTCAGTTTCGACCTGAAGGAGGGGTTGTACGGGTTTGGTGGTCAATAAATTATATGTGTATTGTAAATAATAAAGTTAAAAGAGGGATTATGAAAACCGGTTTTTAACATTTAAAGTTGATAAATTGGTATCATAATTTAAAAACAAAATAATTGTATTTTTTAGTTATAATTACATCATTTGCAAAAAATATCCTGAGATTAAAATGATTTGCGAAAATATCGAGGGCTTAAATAATTGAGGGGAAAATAATTAGGGATTTGTATATCAGGATTAAGAGGGTTATTGAAGGATTTGGAGAGCTATCGTGGATTTGGGTGATATTGGGCATATTATGTGATATATAGGTGATATCCCCCAAATTACCTGATATACCACAGAATCCTACAAAATTCACTATATCATTCTTAATCAGTTGACATCCTTCAAATTCTTCAATATCTTCTTCAAGTATTTTGTTTGTTCATTTTGCCTTTTCACATATTTTTGAAATTTGTAATTACATTTCACTCATTTCGTTTCTACATTTAACCAAATTTCACTTATTTTGCTTGAAGAATAAGAAAATGATTGACATGAAGAAGAAAATAATCTCTGACCATTTTCTACGTATAAGGAAAACTGAGACTCAAAATAGGAGGGGGGTGACATATCCATAAAGTACCTCATTTATCGATGTCAATGGTATATTCGTGAAATTATAGCACTAAAATTTATAAATTTATCACATAACATAAACTTTATTTATAGGTAGTTTATTATGTGCTTTACTCTAATATTAGTCGAATGTTTGTAAAATTTTTTGGAGTTTTTACAAAAATAAGTAATTTTAATTATTTAATGTTTAAATAAATTGCAATAAATTCTAAAAAGCTAAACTATAGATTCTGTCAAACATTCTATTTGATATTAAATCTCATGCTTATTTCTGTGATGCTCTTTCTAATCCATAGCCTTAAGCGTAGCTGCAGCTATTT